GAACTTCCCTCCCTTTTCCCTCGTTCCCTGAAATCAAAGCTACTTGCAGCCCCTGAACATCTTGGGCCCTTCCTTGGTAGCAGGCCTTTGGCACTTCATTTCTTTCAACATTTTTTTATTGTGAATTAGGTGAGGGCTTACACTGAAGACTGTGTTTTGTGTTCAATAGTCTAAACCATTCATCAAACTCTCTAACCGCTTACCCTACCTCATACTTCCTTTCTTGACCTTGTGCATTCTCCATGCTCTCAACTTGGCGTATGTCTGTGCGGCCAAGCCCTGGACGGCCATTCGCTCATTTGCTGTCACCAAGATGTCTCACATGTACCTATGCCCATGAGCCCACCTCGCACACCCTTAGATCTGCACATCGGCACACAAACAGCACACTGGCAACCCTGGACTCCCTGGGCTCGTGCTTCCCCCTCATTTTCCACGTGCATCCATCGTCGTCTCACCTTGGTTTCTTCTCTTCCATTCTCCAAGTGTGTCCGTCTCCCTCCTGGGACTCTGCATCTGCGTCCATTATGCACTAAATTGTTACTGAGGTACCAGATATAGCCAACCCTTCCCACTTGAATCATGGTAAATATGTACCTCTGTGATAGTAATTACATTCACTACCATCCCAGGAGAGACCAATCCCTGGAAAAGAACATCATGCTGAGTAAAGTTCAAGGGCAGAGAAACAGAGGATGGCCCTGAATGAGATCACTTACACAGTGGTCGCAGCATCACAATGATGGGCATACATAAGTGTGAGAGTGGAGCAAGAGGAGGCAGTGTTTTGTTCTGTTGTACATAGTGTCGTTGTGTGTTGAAGTGGACTCAATAACACCTAGCATCATCATCACCACCACCACCACCACCACCACCACCACCACGATCACCACCATCATCATGACTGTGGGGTCACTATTAGTCAGAACTGACTCAATGGTAGTGTGTTTTAAAGGAACTATCCAGTTCCAAATGTTTTCCGGCCCCTGAACAGAAACTGACTTCAGCAATCACTCCTTTCTTCCTCGCCCAGTCCTTTATAACTAATTTGTCTTTATGAATTTGCCTTTTTGACATATTTAATATAAGTGGGATCATGCACTATTGATCCTTTCACTCTGTGTAATATTTTCAAGGTTCATCCATGTAAAAGCATGTAGCAGAACTTCACTTCTCTTTATGACTGAATCATATTCTATTCTATGGGTGGGCCTTATTTTGTTCATTTGGGGGCATTTCTGTATTCTCACCTTTTGGCTAGTGTGTACAATGCTGCTGTAATCCTTGGTATACATGTATCTGTTTGAATTCCTGTTTTCAAGTGTTTGGGGAACATATCAACTGGACTTACTGAGTGATAGGATCACTCTATATTAAGCTACCAAACTGTTCTTCAGAGTGGTTACATCATTGTACCTTCCCATGAGTAACGAACAAGGGTCCCAGTGTCCCCACACCCTCACCAACACTGGCCTGTGCTCCTGCCAGCCACTGCTCAGATCAGAATGTCATCATCTCATTGTGGTCTCGAATCGAATTTTCCTAAGAATTAATGGCATTGAGCATTTCTTGTGTGCTGGGCATTTGCCGATCTCCTTTGGTCGTTAAGTTGTAGGACACCTCCTATGTTCTGAATATTAAGCCCTTATTAGAGATATATGATTCCCAAATATTTCCTCTAGCTGTCTCTTGATAAAGTCCTCTGATGAACCAAACTTCTCTATGTGGAATCACTTTCTCTTCAGGATATCCGACATATGGACCATCAATTCTAAGACAAGGCCTGGGTCCTTGGTGAGGAGGTCACCCTCAGAACAGCCTCCTCTTGGTAGGTCTTTCTCCTGCTCTCCTGTACAAGCTATAGTGATGGATTTGCATTTACTCTATCACACCCTGCTCCTCTCTTCACCTCAGAGCTCCCTCGGCCTGGTACTTAGTCACCTTCTCCTCCTCCTATCTTCCTCTGTAGTGCAGGCAGGCAGGCAGAAAGAGGCTTAAGAGGGAAAGACAGGGGAGGGGAAGGTGTATGTGTCCTGACTCCTGGGAATAGTGTGCTGCCCTACCTCTCCCTCTCTCCCTCTCATGCTGTCTGGCTGGCCTACTTCCATTACTACCACCACCACCAACGGAAGTCACCCCTCACCTCAGTATAGTGCTACAGTGTATGGGCATTAGAGTACAGGGCACTGCTCTACCATGAGACTCCCAATATTCAGTCCCTGGCTCTGCCACTTAACCGCTATATGACATCCATAAAATTACTTACTCTTTCTGAACTTTCAATGCCTCACCTGCACTATGGGGGTGACAACTTAATAATAATAACAATGACAAAGTTTTCTTTTCTAATCAGGGCAAGTACTTCTCTTTACAGAGTTAGGAACACTGTGACGATAATTAGTTCATTTAGTATTAGGCTACTCTATGAAAATAAAAGATGTGGATAGGAAGGGGGGAAAATGAAGAGCTGATACCAAAGGCTCAAGTAGAAAGCAAACGTTTTGAGAATGATGAGGGCAATAAATGTACATATGTGCTTGACACAATGGATGGATGGATGGATTGTGATCACAGTTGTACAATCCCCCAATAAAATGATTTAATTAATTTTTTTTTTAATTTTAAAAAGAAAAAAATATTTCCAGGCCAAGCCAAGAGCCCAGCCATCGTATAGCAGAGTGGCTGAGAAAATACATCTTGGACCCAGAAGACTGAAACGCTTACCCATGGTTCACTCACTCACTCTTCCATCATGAGATTTTAGACAAGGGACTTAACCTCTTTACATTATTTCTTCTATAAAATAGAGCAAAATGGCAGTAGTGAGAGCTCTAACAAAATGATTACAAATAAATAAATGACAGTAGTAATAGCAATGATGACGATTCAAGTAGTATCTACCTCAAATGGGCTGCTTGGAATGAGTTCTGGGATACATAGAAAGTACTTAGATAGTTCTATGTGGTTGTGGACTACCAACAACTCACGGCAGTCCGCCAGGCACAATAAGATTTAATTGTTTGATTCACAGGGATTTTATTGACTGCTTTTTGGTTAAATCAACAGACTTTTCCCCAACTCCATCTTACTCTGGAAGCTCTACTGAAACGTGTTCACCATCATAGCAACACACAAGCCTCCCCTAACAGATGGGTGGTAGCTGCACTTGAAATACATTGGCTAGAAATCTAACTGGGGTCTTCTGCGTGTAATGTGAGAATTCTACCACGGAATTCCAAAGACCTTAGGTGGTACTTACTCACTGCCATCTGGTCAGTGCTGACTCAGAGGACCCCCGTGGGTTTCCAAGACTGATTGCTTACAGGAGTAGAAAGCTCAGCCTTGCTCCCTTGGAAGCTGCGGTGGTTTCAAACTGTGGGTCATGTGGATCGAAGCCCAATGTGTAACCACGATGAGCACCACACAGTGGTAAGTGCTCATTGACATCAGCCTTTATTGTAGCCCATGCTCAGTATCTTTTTAATAGAATAAACAAGCCACACTCCCCCCCAGCAAGCCCTCCCTAGCCTACCCCACCCCCAGTGCAGGTTAGAAGCCCTCTTTATGTGCTCAGAGTGCCCCTCACCCCCAGGGCCTGTTTCACCCCAAGTTGTAGCAGCGGTCAAGCAACTCTGTCTCCTTGGCCACACTCCAGAGCCAGGCCCACGTAGCCAGCAGCATCTAACAATGAATCGATGAATGACACAGCACCCATACCCAAGACCCAAGAATGGCTCTTAAATAGCATGTCTCTTTATTAGCAGTTTAGGGCACCCACTCTCACAATAAACGATCTACTGCTGAGACCCCTCTGCCCAGGTCTCAATGTTCTGGCCCCTCTTCAGATCAAAGGAAAATAGATGCGCTTACACAGGCCACTTCCATGACCTTGAGGTATACCAACCTGTAAACAGAGAAATGCCAATGAGATTAGAACATGTACAAAAATAGAGACTCTCTGAGGCACAGCCCCTAATATCTCTCTCTCTCTCTCTCTCTCTCTCTCTCTCTCTCTCTCTGTCTCTCTGTGTGTGTGTGTGTGTGTGTGTGTGTGTGTCTCTGTCTCTCTCCTTGCTAGGCAGAGGTATAGCTGAGGCCTGGGCCCTGGTTCTTTTTAATGAAGTCAACCCTGGCAAGTTATTTATCCCTAAAGGAGTCTCAGCCCTAAGAATCTGCTCTTAAGGCTGATCAAATTGAAATCCTATTACAAATGTCTTTTTCAGAATGTGACACAAAAGAAATGCTTACCAATGCCATCATAACCTCTCCATGGCCCCCATTTTTAAAAGTCATAAGACTTTTAAAGACCTCCCTGACTACCTCCTGATGGGGGGCCTCCGTGATGGATCACCCCATCACTAGCCTTTTATCCATTGCTATGATCACTCAATACCGAGTGCAAGACCACAAAGTCAAACCAAACTCACTGCCATCAAGTCCATGCTGACTCGTAGCAACTCTGCAGGACAGGGTAGAACCGTCCCTGTGAGTTTCTGAGTCTGTAACTCTCCGGGAGCAGACAGCCTGGTGTTCTGGAATGTTGACACTGGAGTTAGCTGCCAAACAGTAACCACGGCATCACCAGGGTTCCTTACTGGGTGCAAGGGTGGAGGTCAAATGACCCAAAGTGATCTCCCAAAACTCTCCTCTTCTACTTAAATGCTGTCGAAAGACCAGCAGCACATTACCAGACAGCCATCGGAAAGGCACAATCACGGGCCCCACTGCAGACCAACCAGGTCAATACTCGAATTTCCACCAGCTCTCCCAGGATCCCAAGACAAATGTTTGGCCTGTGGCACCACAATTGGGAGAGTCTGAAGCTCAATGTCAAATTCTGCCAGGAAACTGAGAGAACCTTTTAGGAGTATAAGGAAGCTGCCATCCATCCTTGTTGGCCCTGAGTTCAGACCCCCCTTATCAAATCCCCACGGCCCTTCGCCCCGTTTTTGCTGCTCAGCAGAACTCTCTGCTCTGTTCAGCCCTCTCACCTGTCATTCTTAGCAGTCTGAATAGGAAGATGTGACATATGGGCTATGACCCGAATCAACTGCCAGGTGCGATATGCTACAAAAGAACAAAAAAGAAAGAGCAAGGGGAGGTGGGGGATGAGCCAGAACCTGCACAGGGCATGCTAGTCATGGCTTGGAGGGGGTGTGGGCCACACCAGGGGCTCCTGACCAGTGGGGGCCTGTGAGTAGAATCTTACAGAAGGCATTCGGCTGGACTGGGTCCAGGCCGGCTGGGGAAAGGGGGCTTCGCCGGGAGATGAGAGGCCTTTGTGACTGCTTTTCTCTGATTTTGCACTCAAAACAGAGCACAACTGGGATTTCGTAAGAAGTCCAAGACCCACTCCCAGTCCTATCTGTCTCCATTGAGGAGTTTGCACCATGCTGACCAGGATGCTTACCTTCGTCGCACCTGCTCTATCCGGTCTCGAATCGCATCCTCTCTCACCTCACTTGGAACTTGGAAGATTCGGGTATGACTGCAAAAGGCCATTCAAACACAGGGACTCCTGAGTCTTGTCTGCCCCGCCCCACTCCCACCCCCAGCATGGCCCCGCCCACTCCCACCCCCAGCATGGTGAAGCTGCTAGACTTGGGGTTACATGAATACTGGGTCTGGCCCCCATCACCATGAGCTTCTGAACTGACCTCTCACCCCTCTTGTACAATAAGCCCCCAGATTTTTTTATTTTGCTAATCCAGTACCTGCCACACAAAATCCACTGCCATTGAGTGGATCCCTACTGGTGTAGGACAGAGTGGAACTGTCTTCATGGTTTCTGAGCCTAAATTTTCACAAGAGCAGGTGGCCCCATGTTTCGTCTGAGGAGTGCTTGCTGAGTCTGAAGCACCTGCCTTGTGATTACCAAGCCAATGCTTAGAGACAGTGCAACTAGGGCACCTTCAAATGCTTGCAGCTTCCCAATAATCTTAAGCATCTACAAAGGGTTCTACGAGGGCAGAGGAATCAGAGAGGTTAAGGACGTTGGCTAGAATTGCACAGTAACAGTCGCCTTATAAGGTGCAAGCCACACCTTCTGAAGTCTTCTCCAACTTCCTTGGCAGTTCTCAGTGCAATGCCAAATTCACTGATACATGGAAGTGACTGTAAACCAAGTCAGCACACATATACCCAAAGCCAAACCCACTGTCGTCAAGTCAGTTCTGACTCATAACAACCATACCGGGCACAGAAAAACTGTCCCTTGGGGCTTCTGAGACTGTAAATCTTTACAAGAGTAGACAGCCTCATCTTTCTCTCTCAGGTCCCCCTTGGGTTTGAACCACCAACCTCTTGGTTAGTAGCCCAATGCTTACACACCTATACGACCAAGGAGGGTTTGAAAGAGGACAGAAGGTGTGGTTTGGGGCTCATTGTTGATTTTTTTTTAATAACAAATTCCTCTTTATTCATAGAGTTGTTAATAACCACTAAGAAATATTCAAATTGATGTTGATTAATTTTATCCCGCTTCATTTGCCTTGCTGCGTATAATCCCCATCGTAGTCTTTCGAACTCCATGCTCCACTCCTCCCCTAAGGAAGGCCGCATGTTTGGTGAATAGCCCACTTCTAGTTCTGGTGAAGGTTCCTTCTCTATACAATGCCTGACCCTAGGTGCTTTGAAGTTTTCAAAGGTGGGGAGTGCTATAGCATGGACACTGCCTCGGGAGATGCAGGCTGGGGAGGAAGACGCACTCATAAATATTGCTCCACAAGGTAGACCAGCAAGGTAGGTGCCTAAAGAAGCTGATCGAGGAGGAAGGGGTTTCAGAGGAGCCAGCGATTGCTTCATGTTTGAGGGGATGAAGGGGAGCCTCCGAGAAGAAGGGGCCCTTAAGCAGGGGGATCTGGCCAGGGGAGTAGCCCCAGGGGATGGAAGAGGGTTAGAACTTTCAGATGCCCCACCATCTTGAAAACTACAGCTTAGCCACTTCCTGCCCACTTCCGGAGCTAGCGAAATAAATATTCCGCCTAAAACCTCTCCCGAGTACACTCACTCCTGTCTAGCGGTGCTCTAACGGCTACACCCGTGTTTTCTAAACCTCTCACACTTTGTCTGCCTCGCTAGCCTTTTCTCCTTGAAGTTGGAAGGTAAGTTCTATCTCTTCTGGAGAGCTTGGCAGTTAGTTAGTGGTCAGCACATGGCTATCAAACAAATGAATACTCAAGAAAGGGCTATGTATGTCCTGACTACTTGGTAGTAAATCGGAAAGGACGTTTGAACTAGCGCATTGTGCAGACAGCAGCAGAGCTTGTTTAGTTTTAAGTCTCCATAGAACTTCTCCATGGAGAACTACATAGATCATTGGCTGTGGCTCCTACAGCATCTCTCAGATATTTACTCTTTATGAGGCACAGCTAAGATGTATAAAATGCTGGCAGCTCTGGCCACATTATCGAAACCAAATAAGGCCGCCACATCGAGGGTCCCGTGGTGCTGCCCAGGTAGGCCCTGGGCAGCCTCCTCAAACCCCTTGCCAGGGAGTGCCTACATTCCTTCTGTTTTGTTTTTATTCTACATCAGAATTCTATTTTAAGATGCTGGTGCCACTGGGTTGGATAAACCTATGAAAAACCTTTATGTGGAAAGAAACACATAGTTTTCGAGACATATAAGGCTCTCAGTCGCAGAGAGCAAAGATAGGCGTGGGGGCTTGGGAGGACAGAAGGCAGTAGCAATGAGAGCAAAGACACCTGTAAAGTTCTGTCAGGAGAGTTTAACCTCCCACACCCTCTCCTGGGAAGGATGTGGCAGAGAGGGACCAAGAAGTCCTGCCCTGCCCCAAGGAACCCAGTCCACCTTTCAGTCGGCCTCCTTCTGTCTAAAGGGTCCGCATGCTCAGGGCCAGAAGGGCAGTGGGGCTGCAGTTCACAGTGCAGGGGCCCTGCGTGAGGTCAGGCACACAGCCCTAAGCCGGCGCATACGATTTTTGACTAGGACACTGAGAAATCTCAATACCTCAGTGGAGGGGATGGCTGTAGCTTTTGCATTTTAAAAGCTTATTTTCCTTTAGCTCTTTAAAATCCAGCCCCTTCTAACAATTCAAGTGCAAAATTAACAGAAGTGTAAAACTTATTCAAAAGCATTTAAGAAATGGTGAGCAGGCCCCGTTTACCAGCCCCTTGAGTCATTTAAAAATGTAGGAATCCACTGGGGTTCCAAAAGGGTAAAAATATTCCCTAACACCCCAAAGCAAGGCGAGCCATTTCCAAGCCAAAGAAGGCAGCCCTAGAGGAGAGTGTTCATGGGCTTGGTTCACCTTGATGCCTGAAAAGAGGATTCACATCTTCCAAATGGGTTATTTTACCTCCATCTTATGAACTGGATTCTAGTTCTCTCCTCCAGAACCTCTTGACTCGGGTTTGATAGCAAATCAGACTTTGAGAGATGGTGCTTCACCTAGGAAATCCAGTCAGAATCCGCATGATTTGTCAAGTCTCAGATAAGTCTCCTCTCCACCTCCCACCATCCACTCCCCACCAAGCCCCCATCTTAGAATTATTTCTAATACCTCTTCCCATCCCCCACCCGACTGCTAGCCTCAGACTTGTCAGTTACCACATCTCTGGTCACATGGATGTCTTGGCCATGGGTGGGAGAGTAGTTGCTGGATAGCTTTTCCTTTATGCCTTGGGAAGCCTCCTCTTCAGTCTGAAATGCGAGCACTTTCCTCGGAACCAGTGTCATTCTGCAGCCTACCCGACTTCTGTTCTCACCCCCACCCCCTTTTCCTCTCCACGACAACATAGCACACAAACCCACTTCACACCTCTTGGCTCCTGCCAAAAATGGAATCAACTGCAACTGTCCTGAGAGGTGCACTAGGTCTCTGGTTCCCGCCCCCGGCTATTGCAGAGACATCAGTGAAGCAGAGGTAATGCTCATATATCCGCTCAACCCAGCGCTGGGGGACTGAGGGGCCCACGAACATCTCTTACAAGGAAGCCAGCCTGTGTCCTCTAGGATAGTCGGGTGAATAAGATACACTGCTGGGAGGGTAGCTTGGCAAAGTTCAACATCATATTAAGCCAGCGACTTCAGTTCCCAGTCCTATGGAGAGGTTAGCCGCACCCTTGCACCCGCTCTAGAAGGGTGACTAATGGATCCGACGGGGCCTTACTCACTTTTTTCAACCAGTGCTGTACCACAGACACAGCCTCGCTTTCCACAACTTCAATGTCCTGCAACAAGTCGGGAAAGCAGAGCTTTTAGAATAGAGGGAAGCCCAGTTCCCTCTCTCTGCATCTTAAGACAGAGTGGTATATTACAAGATCGCTCTGGAAAGACAGAAGGGGGTGCCGAGGAAGAAAAGATATGTGAGGAAAAACTTTACCTGGCTGTCACCAACCCCACTTACCGAACTCATTTTTGGTGGGAAGGGGAAGCCTACACCTTTTCGGGCAAGAACATACATAATCCATGTTGTAATGATCATATTTAGACTGACACTAGGTCTCCTTCTTGGCTCCCTCCTCCCATTGAAGCTGCCTCCAAATGCCTATGGAATAGCGAGGTCATCTAAGGGAGTGAGCACCTGATTGGCTGATCATTGATGATGTCACAATGAGTACCCTTCATCTCCAGGGTCAAAGTGGAGATGAAAAAGAGAGGTCAGAGGGTGCCGACCAACAGAAACATGGGTGAAGGGAGACAGCAGATGGTGTAAGATATGAAAATAATAATAATTTATAATAATTATTATTATAATTATCAAGGGTGCATGAGGGTGAGGGGGGGAGAAAATGAAGAACTGATACCAAGGGCTCAAGTGGAAAGAAAATGTTTTGAAAATGATGATGGCAACAAATGTACAAATGTGCTTGACACAATGGAGGTATGGGTTATTAGAAGAGCTGTAAGAGCCCCCAATAAAATGATTTATTTTTAAAATGAAAAGAGTGGTCAGGAAGTTTCTACCTTACTATTGGCCTTAGGCAGAAACAGAGATAAGGGGCTGGTGGTTAGAAACAGCCAGGATCAGCCTGGGGCAAACACACAATGGAACAATAACACAAGTCATAGTAGGAAAGCCTGGGAGGGAGAAAGCTGAAGACTGGCCACCAGGCTTGAGCAAGGCTGAAGCAAAAAGAGGTTTTCCAAACGGGAAGAACAAGTATGTGGCAAACTCACCCCAGTCTCCTAAACACACAGTCAAAGCAAAGCCACAAGCACTTCCTATCCGTATCCTTCTAGACCATGGGGAAAGAGCCTGCTGGCTCCTCAAAAACACCAAGGTAGGGAAGAGAGTCCCAACAAGGACGTTTTCTTCATTTCCCTATCTTATGTATGCAAATGATTCAAGTAATTTTAAAATATATCATCTATTTTGAATCTTCTTGTGATCCCAAATACTATGTAGTTAAGTCTTGCTTCCTGCACCGATGGACGTGATCCCTGTTGGGAAACGGAGCCTTTCTTTGGTTGAGTTGAGGAAGCCATGCCCAAGTAGGCTGCGAGAGAAGTTTGCTATTCCCATAAAAAGCTACCGTCTCTGAAACTCACAGGGGCAGTTCTACCCTGTCCTACGGAGGCACAATGAGTCAGCCTCAAATCAATGGCAGTGAGTTTTGAGGGATTTTTTTTTAAGTTCTATTTTTAAGTTTTTGAGGCAGTATCAAACACCATTTTCCACAAAGACTATACCATTTCGCATTCCCACCACCAATAGATAAGGGTAACAATTTCCTCACACACCTGCCAACGTGTGTTATTTTGTGTTTTTATCCCGTTGTTGTTGTTGTTGTTGGGTGCTGTCGAGTTGGCACCAATGCACAGCGACTGCACAGCACACTGAAGCACAGCTGGGTCCCGCACCGTCCTCACAATGGTTCTTATGCCTCAGCCCACTGTTGCAGGCACTGTGTCAATCCGTCTCCGCTGCCCTCCGCTTTACCAGTCATGGTGTCCTTCTCCAGAAAGTCGCCTTTTCTGACGTGTCCAGAGTTTGTAAGATAGAGTTTTGTCATCCTTGACTCTAAGGAGCACATTGACTGTACTTCTTCCAAGACAGATTGCTTTGTCCTTTTAGCAGTCCATGGTACTTTCCATAGTCTTTGCCAACACCACAGCTCAAATGTATCCATTCTTCTTCACTGAATGTCCAACTTTCACATGCATAGGAGGCAATTAAAAACAGAGAGGCTTGGGTCAGCACATCTTTTGATCTTAGCTATGTTTGTTTGTTTTTAAACATTTTAACAGTTTTATTGCCATCAATTTCACATATACAATTCAGTGGTTTGAACAGCCAATCAGGTTTTGTAGTTAGCTGCCATCCAGGCGGTTTCTGAACAAAACCCTGCCTAGTCCTGTACCACTGTTATAGTTACTGCTTTTGCTTGAACTTACTGTCCCAGCCACTGGGTCAGTTCATCTTGTGGAGCGTCTTCCTCTTTGTCACAGGCACTCCACCAAGCCCGATGTGCCTCTGCAGGGACCGGTCCCTCCTGCTCCTGCGCCTAAAGTCCATGAGACGCTGATCACAGCTCGCTCCACTTTCTAGTCCCACTAGCAGTGTGTGATGGGTGCAATCTCTCCAGAGCATTTGTTGTTTTCTGGGTTTTTGGTTTGATTAGTTAGTTTTGTTCCTTTTGTTGTTATTGTTTCTATTACTTCTGGTGAGATGATCTCTCGTTGGTGTTTTGATTTACATCTGTCTAATTACTAATGAGAGAAAAGGACGAGGCTTTCTAATCCCACAAAGACTTAGAAACCTACAGAAGCCGTTTTACCTGTCCTCCAGGACCACTGTGAATCAGAATCAATGTGGTGGCAGTGAGTTTATGACTGATGAGCATTTCTTCATGCTTGTTTGTTGCCCAAATGTCTTCTTTTTGCGCTCTTGTGAGCTACAAATATACATACAATTTAATTAATAATAATTGTATACAGAACTAAAGATTAGAAATAAGGAGTAACCATTTTAGGTCTAGGAGCCCTGGTGGCATAGTGGTTATGACTTGGGCTATGATCCTCAAGGTCAGCAGTTCGAAACCACCAGCAGCGCCACCGAAGACAGTAAAGATTTCTGCTCCTGTAAAGAGGTACAGTCTCCAAAACTACCCTATCCTTTCAGGATCCCCATGAGTCAGTATTAACTCAATAGCATTAACTCGGGGCTAGTTGACTAGTTTTGTTTTTAATCTCAGGTAAATGTCTTAAAATATTAAGGGGGTATCTTTTTATTTTATTTTCTTGTACTTTTAAAATATAGTTTCTACTGTTGAACCACCTCTGCATTCCTTGAATAAACCCTGATATCATCTATTTTTTAAATTGTCATAAGTAAACTATACAATGAAAAAATATAGGAGGAGACGTTCCATCTCCTTCCCTGTCCTTTCAACTTTGCTTTAACTTATCTCAGAAGTCAAAATTTTCATTAGTGCCCAGGCTATACCATTTTTATTTATGTTTTTAAGAAAAGGCATACACATAAATCTAGTTGCAGTTTATTAACATCAAATGTTAAAATGTGTCCCTTATTATGTACAAATACAAATGTGTGTGTGTCATCACCTTAAGACACGGAGCATTTACACGGCCCCAGAAGGCAGTTCCTATCACAAGTCTTCCTGTGCAATGCTGCCCACTAATGATAACCCCATTGTGCCCGTGACCCACCTCAGTTTTGAGTTCTGAGGCACACACAATGTACCCTTTTCTCGGGGTCTCCTTTATATAACAACATGTGGAAGATTTGTCCAGGTCGTTGCATGAAACTGTAGTTTGTTATTATTTTAACCCTGGATTGCAGTCTCCTGCAGTACTGTAAAATGGTTCACTTTTTAAATTTACTGTGGATGATTATATTAAAGCAATATTGCAATTCATATTCATATATATATATACACAAATAAACGTACATTGTACGTTTGTTGTACTTTGGTGGTTTGCGTGTTGCTGTTACACTAGAAACTATGTCACTGGTGTTTCAAATGCCAGTCAGGTCACCCAAAGTGAATAGGTTTCCGCAGAAGAAGGATGCTCTTGTTCCCTGAATAGAAGATTCTAATTACTGGTGCAGTGGTTGTGAGTTATGAGGCTGCAATCCACATGCTTGGCAGTTCCAAACCCCCGTAACTCCTCAGGAGAAAGCCTGGCTTTCTAATCCCATAAACAGTTACAGTCTCAGAAGTCCCCAGGGCAACGCTCCTGGTCATCATTGATTCAAAGGCAGTGAGTTTGTTTATTTTTCCCCAGGAAAATTGACAACCTTACCTGTATGAACTGCCCTCATTTGTCTATCATAAGAGTTCTTAGCTTACAGTCTGTTTTTCTGATATTATTACAACTGCTCCCTCATGGCTATTTGTTGGTCTTGGTTTCTAATTGAATCTGGCAATCTTGATTGCAGTTTCATTGCCTTTATGTTGGAATGTTTGATCTATTCACATACAATGCACTCATTAACATGGTTAAATTCACAACTGCTCTTTTCCTATTCAGACCATACCAAAAGGGTGGCTTTGCTATCCTTGATACAAACACAATGGTGTTTATTTTAAATGTCCTTTGAGTCTGAGGGGGAAAAGGAATCTGAAGCGGTGATACCAAGGCTGAGAGACGGACTCAGGAAGGTTCCCAGTGGCATTCTCATAGGACAGACTTTGCTACCCTTGATCCTACAGGTGAGTTGTTATGGTGGGGGAAAATCCCTTGGTGCTATTTTCTTGGCCTTTCAGTTTTCTTAAACTTCTTCATCATAAAGCTCCATGGTTGGCCTATGTTCTTCAAGAGAATCTGCCTAGATTATCCTCTGGGGATTGAAAAACAGTCACCGTAACCTGCTGAGCTGACCTCTCTGCCTTCAATGTAACCAGCCCTATGGATCCCCTCAGAATCCAGTGTTTATTGGACATTGTTCTCTGGGTATTATTTGGTAAATCTGAGATTCGACTCCAGTTATGATTCATTACATAAAATCATTTTCATTAGCTTAGAAGACTGAAAGGAAAATTCACTTTTTAAGCTAGCCGATGGCAACGCTTTTGACACCCATCAAGCTAAAGGCTGTTGAGGCCGAGATGTCCATTTACAATTGAAAGTGTCAAATCATGTCAGCTACCAACTTGAGTGTTGTATTGATGGTAATTCCACAGTCTTCTTCCACCAGGACTTCAGCCGTGATTTCTGCATTCATTGAGATTGACAGTCAACCTTGTCTTTGTTCATCTGTTGGGATCTTCCCAACTTTCCTAAAAACACGTTATCCATCTAGAAATTGTTGTTATATGATGCAATATTCCCATAGTAGTCTGGTGGGTTGCATATCGACTGTTAGCCACAAGGTCAGCAGTTCAAAATCACTAGCAACTACATTGGAGAAATGTTACAGGAAGGATGCTCAAATGTTTGAGTCTCTCCATGCCTCCATCCTTGTCCTGATTACAAGACAGTTTCAGGCAAGGGACAAAATTCAGACCAGAGTCAGAG